GTATGGTTGAGGGGGGAAAAAACCAACAGAGCCAACTAATTGAAGACAGATGTGCAGTCAAAAAGACACTACCAGGTTTAATTAAGGCTAGCCACAGTGGAGTAATAAAACAAAATGATGTCTAACTATTTCCCATCTGAAGAAAATGAAGAGGTCAAAAAATAATTTAAAACAGATTGAATTGCCTCACAGAAGGTAAAATGTGTTTACTTGAAATGCCCCCTCAATAATTGAGGACAGAAATGATTTAACACTCTAGGATTTATTCCTCTAGGGTACAGGAACCCTCTCTGCGGGAGTGGGCTTATTCCATCATATATTTATGAGATTACATTCTTTCTCCTCGTTGGTACTTGATAGTACAAATAGGAATTAAAAAAGAAAGAAGACACAAAAATGTAGGCTTCCAAAATGCATTTTATTATTAAGTAAACCTCGGTTCCTCATAAAAGAAACACTTCTCATGTGCAATACACAGGCACATGATATATTCAAGCATAATAGGTCCATGATCTCTGAAACTCTTATTTAAAGAGAATAAAGCAAAGGTAGAATAGTTTTAAATTACTAATTTGGAGGGCGCCTGGGTGGCTCAGTCGTTAAGCGTCTGCCTTCAGCTCAAGTCATGATCCCAGGGTCCTGGGATCGAGTCCCGCGTCGGGCTCCCTGCTCTGCGGGAAGCCTGCTTCTCCCTCTCCCACTCCCCCTGCTTGTGTTCCTGCTCTTGCTATGTCTCTCTCTGTCGAAGAAATGGATAAAATCTTTAAAAAAAAAAAAAATTACTAATTTGGAATCATGAGTCTGTTGAAAGTCATATTTAGTTTTAATGTTTTAAAATATTATTTTAAATATTATTATATTTATATTTAAATATATTAAATATAAACCAGAGTTCACCAGTTGTCTGTACATCCAGATTTGGAACCAGCACAAATACTAATGTCTGTAAGAACACCCTCTTGTTCTCCCATGGAATGTGACTATACATATTATTTCTTACTATCATTCCAATTTAAATACATTTATAAAATATCCATGGTCTGTTAGTTTTTTAAATTCACAAAACTATGCACTCCCATGTTTAGTGTGTTATCATTAAATATTCCTTTCAATTAAACCGATTTTGGAGGGATTGGGAAAAAATAAAACACCTAGTTGAGTGATCACGTTTTTCTCTACCATATGACAGATTAAAGTTGCATCTCTGTTTTTAAAACTCCAAAAAAAAAAAATTGCATTGCCCCAAGTTTCCTTGACAAAACATGGAGGAAAAAAAATAACCCTCCCACATCAAGTGCTGTTAATGAGAGATTTATGATTTGCATAATGCACACAGCCAGATGAAAAGTAAAATATCTACTTAATCATTCGGATGTTTGAGTTGTGTTGTTAAGGGAAAGAATTATTAATTTTATTATTATTTCATTAAATATGGCTTGAGCATAGTTCCAGGATAAGCTTTTGAGAAGGCTATGGTGGAGAAAACACAGGCTCGGCTTCCAACAGCAACATGAATGTGACAACCACAGCCAAAGATAGAAAGTGGTCATTGCAGAAACAGACCTGTGATCTTGTGCTAGGAGAGTACGGATATAGAAGAGCTCGCTTCTGAGTGGAAAGATGAGGAAAATACACAGAGCAGGTGCAGTCGGAGCTGGGCCTTTACGGACAAGTACAATTTCGATATGAGAAAGTGACAGGTGCAGAGAAAGGCATGACAAAATCAGAAGAAAGGGCCCAGCTACAGCTCAGGAGAAAAAAAAAAGCCAAACCAAAGGGAGCCAGTGTGAGCGGTCTAAGTGGGCTTCTGTGAAAAGTGTATAAAGGAGAATGACAGGAGATACATTTGGAAAGAAGCAGATGGTTAAGGACTTTGAGAGGCAAAGTAAAGAATGTGACCAAAATCATGAGATGCCTTGCAATTACTTTGAGATCTAGCCTTGGATATCAAGTTGTAAAAGCACTTTATTCATTAACGTGTTGGAGATAATGCAGGTTTAGCTCAATGTAAGAGAATTGACACGTTCTTATTTGGAGACTGTTTCAAGAGAAAAAAATTAGTAAATATACGCATTGTTTCAAGCATCTGATAAAGAACTCTTAAAATACTTGGGTTTTTAGTCCCAGTTTATCAAAACCTCTGCATTTCTGTATGTTTAATTGCATTTTATGCTATGTAGCTATAGCCCAGTAAAAAGCAAAGGTCTCTTCTACATTTTTAGTTGAATTCATTTTTAGAAACTACCAGACATCAGGCTCTCTTTACCCTACACTTCCATACCAGATTAGGAAAAAAAAAAAATATCAAGCACCAGATGTTTTGGTAAGATGATGGCAAACATCTCCATTTATGTGAATTGTTCACCTAACTTCTAAGTTAGGTTTCTTTAGACTCAAATTTAACACATAATTTTGTTTTCCAAGTATGTTAGGTAGACTTAGACTTATTCCAATATATGTATATGTTCTCTAGATTTGGTTTTCTTTCTTTTTATGTTTCTTATAAACTATTATTTGTTTGCATTTAAATTGACAGCACTTGTATAGACTTTCCAAATGAGATCTCTATTCACCTAGACAAGATGAAAAGCTCTCCTTAAATTTATTTCTACCCCTGTTCCTTCCTTCTTGTTATATTGTTTTACATTCTGCACACATCTCAGATTTCCCAGAAGAGAAATAGAACTAGAAATTGCATCAGGTAAAATCAAAGTTCACATAGAAAAGATTGAATATTTTGAAATTTAAATAAGACAGCTCTGCTACAATAGCTATTTTGGTGCATTGCGAGATGGATCTTGGTTGAAAATTGTTTTAATCTAGTAAAAATAAGTTGATTTAAAAATTAGCATATATTAATTAAGGTTTGTTTTTGAAAGTAGTATATTGAGATTTTCCAGTTGATGGTATTAAAGTGTTTCATTCAATATCATACTAAAAAATATTAACAATATTGTTGATTGGATTACATAATGCCAATCAAAAAATGTGGCAGCGTTCCTTTATTTACAACCAGTTGACTAATCTGACTCATTATGTGTTTGATTATACAGTTTAATTTACTTTACAAATGTTCATAATTTATATCATAGTCATATATGATAGTCATTTATATTTTTTAAGTTATCCTTTTAAAAAGTCCTTAAGTTAGCACTAACTACACCATCTGGGTTTCTCCTACATAGAAAATATCAAACATTATAACTATCGTTCTGTCTCCTCAAATCTACTCGGGGTTGCTAGTAATTGATCGGTGACCGGTTATTTAACAATATTCAAGCCTTTTTCTAAATAGCTAGTCCCAACTTACAGATACCTGCTGTTATTTCCCAACATTTCTTCCTTATTTCTCTATTCTGAGAAAGTGATCTTGCTATCACTAGAATAGATATTATAACAAGTCCTGGTGGCTTTAGAGAATCTGTTGTCCCAAAAAGGAAAAAGTGGAGAAGTGGGGAAAAACCAAAACTTTTGTGAGACTTGATCCCGATTACCCTGATGGTGGATTTCCTGTCCTCAAGTGGTTTCCCTCACAATGTCTGTAGTTTTCCCTTCATTTGGATGTACAGGTTTTATTAAAATTCCACCAGATTAAGAGTCATTGTGTTTGTATACATCTCTTTAAGGAAAATGTAGATATCTTAGTGTCATTCAATGATTATCAATGATTCGCCCGCAGTGTGAATCTATCCAACTGCTTAAGAAACTCCTGATTGAACACAGGTGTTTTTATAGAAGAGAGAGACTCGAAGTATTTTTGTATCCTAGAACATGTCTAGAATTGGAAAGAAAATTGAAGCAAATTCATTATCAGGGGCTAGGTATGCTCAAAGGCACTAGGGAGCAGTGATTGACAGGAAAACCTTGCAGAAGAGGTTGGGGGTATAACAAATAAAATCACAAGATGAGGAAGAGAAAGTAACTGAGCTCCTGCTTTATCTCTTTATCTCACTCCTCATGGTCACAATCTTATGAGTTGAAGTATGCATACTGAACCCATTATCTTCAAATGCAAAAGCTGAGACTGTTTAGATTTACTCTAGAATGAGCTAGGATTCCAAATCCTGTCAGTATGATCAAAGCTCATGCCTTTGAATTCTGACCCTGTGGCAGAAAACATAATAATTTTTAAAATTTGCCTAGAGAAGCTTTTCTCCACAAAAAGAAGAGGAAACACTTGCCTTCTCTTCTGTTTTTTGCATCAAATGTTCCCCCCAAATCTCCTCTGATCTAGAACTCCACTAACAATATTAGTACTGTATTCCTACTGCATGAAACAACACAAAATTACAATGTTTCCATGGGAATATGGATTGCTTTATCCAAAAGAATCAAACTTAAGGAATTATTGAAACAAGTCCCAATCATAGATGAAGAAATGCCAAAGGGGAAGCAAAGATCTTCAAATTTAAAAACTTGCTGGAGATAGTTGTTACATACAAACAAGCACAGAATTCTTCAATCACTTCTTGAAACCATCTGTTCTACTTTACATCTTCACTTCTCAGGAGAAAAACAGATTATCGGTTAATATGGAGAATAATTAAGAAATTTTCCCTTATCCCACTATTTCTCTCTACCCAAGTCTTTCTAAACTCCTTTCTCCATGAAATAGCCCAAATTCATATTTGTTTGTCTTTATTGTAATACTGTACAAATAAACCACAGAGAGAACCAGTAATAATGATAATAGTAATAGACTGGTTATATACTATTTAACTCAGTCTAAAAATCTGATGATTTAACCCTAGAAACAATTGTGTTCTTTTTTTTTTTTTTTTTTTACCTCTATGTCCAATAAAAATAACCAAGTCCTTAGTGTTACCACAGCACCTTATTGGTTAAGGAAAAGAAAATGACAGGCAGATTAAGACATGTGGAGTTCTTGCTAGAGCTGTTTCATTATCCATGTACATGAAGAAAACGTAAAATGATGCCTTTGGAGATCAATGGGAGTTTCATTGATTGACTGTGGTGTTGACTCTTCCCACACCATGCAGCGAAGCCTGCCAATCACCGGCCTGCAGAAAGTTCCGTGTCCACCGGCTCCTCCGGCAGCGGGTATAGCGTGGACAGTGAAGGAAGCAGCAACACTGCAGGGGAGACCAATCTATTTCCTATTCCACGGATGTAAGTGTGGGGGGTTTTCTTTTTCTTTTTCTTTTTTTCCCACTACAAAGTTATAACATGAGTAAGCTTTGCTTAACACTTAATAGGAAATAACTAGATAATTATCCAGTTCTGACTCATTGTCCCTGAAGCAATTCAACTGTGTATGCCTCCATAGAAAATAGACTGTTCGGGAAAGATTGGGTTAATTTAGCCAGTTCTAAGGATGAACGCTGGTCACTTCCAGGACTATTTAATCAGTGCAATCTGTATTTAATAGAAAAACTGCTACAATAATAACTAAATGAAGTTCAGCAGCAGTAGTCCCTTGATGCGGTAATCACATAATGATCAAACACAAATATTATTGGTGTTTGAGATAAACTTAGATTAATTTACTTTGAATCAGGAGAGATTTAAACATATTTAAAGAGCTCATATATCGTTTTTGAAATAGATAACACATTGGGCTCCTCATAGAGGCTTTTCAGTAATCTTTCCACAATTAAAAAGGAAGATTTTGAAGTGTTTCCATATTTTCCACAACAAATATCAAGTAATACAGGGTCCCCAGTACATAATCTTAGAATAAAGTTCATTGGTAATATGTTAAGCCTCAAGAAAATAATATTGCGGATCGAATGCAAAACGAAAGCAGATTGTGTTTAGGATGTGTTAGAATGGGCTTAGCCATGTTGGTGGCAAAAGTTAGCAGCATCCAAGATACATATGTTGGTTATGTCTGTTCCAGTATCGAAATCTAGACTTTCCAACCTTTCCTTCTCCTCCCAAGGAACTAGTTTTCCAGGTTTTGAAAAACGTCATTGGACCATCCATCTCCAGGATCTAGGTCAGGGCGAATCTAGCCTTGCAAGGTCTTGAGCTAATTTGGCCTTTGCATTTTTAAATATTTGGGGGCAAAAAAAATACCAGAAGAATCGCATTTTGTGAGACATAAAAATTATATGAAACTGAAATTTCAGTGTCCATAAAAGAAGTTTTATTGGAAGCCACACCCACTTGCTTATGTGTTGCCTAATGTTACTTCTGCCCTATAGGGGCAGACCTGAGTACAGGACCATTCAAACCGTCTCCTATCTGGCTCCCTACGGAGTTTGCAGACCCCTGATCTGGGCTCTTCTTAAAGGATCTTCTTCATTTTCTCCAGTGTTGAGTGAAGCCATTTCTGGGAGTGGAATTCTATTTCTCTTTGTTTTAGTGTCAAGGTTTTTATAAATCTTTCCTTCTATCGTCCAGAATACTCCCAATATTTATATAATGGCTCAGATTACAAAAGCAAAATAATGGGGAAAAGGGGTTTGTACAGTGAAAAATGTATTTATATTTTATGATTTTCAAGTCATATTTTTCCTACTTAAATTGTTACATTATTGGATCACCTGCCCATCTTTTTCTTTTCTTAAGACTTAGGCTATGGATTCAATAGTTATTTATATTTAATTAGTTCTCTTTTATTGGACACTACTTCTAAAAGGAGTCTGATCTCATTACTCCTCTTTCTCTGATGATCTTCTATGAAGAGAATTTGAGCAAATTCATTACATTTCTCTCTCTAGACTGTGAATATCATATGAGTTTGTGATTTTTTTAACCACACATCACTTAATATCCTTCCAATTTATCCATACCTTTCAAATAATTTAACACTGATGATAAAGATACAACTTCCAGAGAAAAAGCACTTTATTTCCTCAATATCTGAATATCTGAAGTAGAACTAGATTATGTATTTTTTACATACATACCACATTCCAATTTTGTTTTTCCCATTTTCCTCAAAACCTTTCAAAACTGCCTCGGACACACCATTGTTTTGTCATCTGAGCACAAAGAAAATTCTCTTTTCTAAAGCAGTATTTGGTATTTCTTTTATATGCCCTTTTGTGTCTAACACAATTATTGCTTAGGCTAACATAAGAGTTCAATAACTGTTTGGTGATTGATTAACAAATATAAATTACAAACTGTGTAGTCCACATGTTCTGAGCTGAAGGTTATCTCCCGGGAATTCAGAAAAATTGCATCCTTCACATAACCCACAGTCAAATTTCCTTCATATTTTATTTAGCTTCACGATGCTGCAGAAGTACCTGTAAGATCTTAGAAATGCCTCTCATACACATTTTCCCTGTGCACCTAATGTTAAAATCAGTTTTCATTAGAAACAAAGACTGCAGCTGAATATCAGATACCATTAAAATTCGAAACCTAGGATGTGAGATCAAATAAAAAATTACCCAAATTTTACTATTACTAAAAATTATAATTATTTTGTTAAAATTTGACATATATAGAAGAGTAATTTTTCAGTACTCTCATCTGTTAGATGAACACTCCTAAAATGATTTTCCTTTTCATCTGAGTTTGACTCAGTAACAAGACGTTTGGTTCCCTCTGTTAGTATTGCTCACGGTAAGATTGCTACTGAGTTATGAAGATTTTCTCTCGTCTGATCGGAACAGAGCAAATTTTTTTTAAATTTATCATCTACTTGTATTGAATCTCATTGAAGCAATTACACAAATTGAAGTTCCTTTTATTGCTTAATCAAGAATTTTTTGGCACATATTCAGATGCAGACTGTATCTATATGTATATAAGTATATATATGATTTCTAACATTTTTTCATGTCCTTCACACTTGATAAAAATTTGTGTTTAAACCTTTGACCTAGAATTGTCATAATGGAACAATGTAATGGGTTTCAAGATAAAACTAATTTCTGAGTTTATATCTATTCCTCTTTCATTATGTGCAGAACCATCTCTATAGAATGGTAGGATCTTTAGAGCAGTTTTCAAGTGAGATGTAATTGGATTCTTAAGAAAGAAATACGATCACATTCTCAATAAATTCAGCAAACCAAATATTTTTGTGAAAGTAAGAATTAATTGCGAGCAAATCCTGCTGTGTTAGAATTATTGTCTAAAAAGTATAGTATCGAGGAGTTCTTTTGTACAAACACCCTTTTTAAAACTTAGGTGTTTTTATTTCATCGTTTAAGAACATCTTATATAAGTATGTATAAAGGCAATTCCAAAATCTTTTCTATGCCACGTAGCTTTTTCTCTTACTGAAAAAATAAGAAGTAGCCTATAGTGTTTGGGCTGTTACATTGTCAATATTCTGAACACACAGTGCTCAGAGTATCATGAATTCTTCATCAATTTGGCCTTCCAGAAAGTTCGAGGCCGAAACTAAAAGAGTAGTAGACTCTGGCTGAATTCTAAAGCCGAAATTGTGTGCATACCTACCTATTAATATTTTCTATTTATTGAATTTTATGATGTGTCAGGCACTGTGTTAAGTACTGTTTTCCACATGATTTTGTCCTACCCAAAAGCTAGCTAGTGTTACTATCTTTTTATTACAAAAGGAGAGATAGATTCACCAGATTAAGTAGATTTGCCTTAGATTACACATAACATGAAATAGTTAAGCCAGGGGCAGAGACCAGGAGGTCTGACTTCAAAAGCTAACACGCTATGCACAGTTGAAAACAGCGACAGGATCTGAAAGTCACTAAGTGAAATAAAAATCTGTGTTATTACAATATTATTCTTGCAAGTTATTTAATTCAACATTTCCCTTCTCACCAAAGGGTCTGTACAAGTCATCATAACAAAACATAAAGATATAAAAACTTCTTCTCACTTCTTGAGTTAAAAATGGAGTGTATGGTGATTAACATAACATAATAATAATTTTTAAAATGCAAAAAAAAATAAAAATAAAAAAACAACAACACCCCAATTCTCAAAAAAATTTGATAATTTCATGATAGTCTGATCTTTGATAAATGAGTCAATAAATAAGACACTGAATTTTGAGGTATTATGCTCAGACTAAGTAAGAATAAGAAACAAGCCCCTATTTTAAAATTAACATGATACAGAGTGATTTATTGTGTTTAGACTTGCCATTCAAGTAATTTATTTCAGGTCTGAATATATAATGTCATTCTATTTTTTGGGAACTTGGTCTTCTCATTTGCATTTAGGAGAGCATAACTAAATATATAACCTTTTATTTTCTTTTGAAACAGAGGGAAGATGGGGCAGAATGGGCAAGAACCTGTAAAACAGCCAGGAGTAGGAGTGGGACTAGCAGACCCGGAAGGTAAGTTAAAATTTACAGTACTGGATTTTGGCTGAATCTACATGTTACACTACAAGTGTTTGATTTGTTTCTCTTTGAATATAAATGCAAATTTCTACATGCTAATGGCAACACCCTGGGAAGTACAGCACCATTGTGTTACCTAGTAGATTAGAATTATTTTGTAATTTCATTTAACGATTTCCCAATTTCTTGATTTATATTTAACATTTAAGTACTTAGGGGTACCAAAAAGTTAAACAAGAAAGAAGAGTGAGAAGGATGACAGGAGAGAGAATCAGAAGACTTTCTCAGTAAAAAACAAATATTTTGTTGAGATTTTTAAAAATTTTTGTTAAAATACCATGCAAATAGAAAATAAATCATGAAACATCACTTAAAATGGAAAATCTTAAAATTTTGTTAAAATACCATGCAAATAGAAAATAAATCATGAGGGGCGCCTGGGTGGCTCAGTCGTTAAGCGTCTGCCTTCGGCTCAGGTCATGGTCCCAGGGTCCTGGGATCGAGTCCCGCATCGGGCTCCCTGCTCCGTGGGAAGCCTGCTTCTCCCTCTCCCTCTCCCCCTGCTTGTGTTCCCTCTCTCGCTGTGTCTCTCTCTGTCAAATAAATAAAATCTTAAAAAAAAAAAAAAAAGAAAAGAAATCATGAAACATCACTTAAAATGGAAAATCTTAAATGTATGGAGCTCAGAAGAAACTAATGGTATAAAAATCATTTTATAGGAAAAAAATGACTAAAGTAACTTCTAAAGTGAAAACCCAGTTTGAACTTAAATTTGGTTTTGTTAAACAAATGGTAAATGTATTACAAAATGCAAGAAAGTCTTTAACTTCAGCAGACACATATTCAGTATCTGTAAGGTGCGCAATGACTAGCTTATCTGTCATAATATTGTGATAAGATCTGACAGCACTGTTATCCCCCTTGGAATGCACAACCTCTCAGTAATTTCAACTATCTTAATTACTTTGTACTATTCTAAGTACTTTTCGTGTATTATCTCATTTAATTCTTAAAATTACCTATAAAGGTAAATAATACCATATACCAGTTTTACATGAGAAGAAACTGAGGTGCAAATATCACACAAGATAAGAGCAAGTAACTTGAACCCAAGCAAATGATGCCAAATCACCTGCTATGAAAAAGAATGATTAATGGCACAGTAACACAAAGACACTAGATGAAGAAATAGGAAACCCAGATTTGGATTTCAAATCTGGTCCTGGGGGCGCCTGGGTGGCTCAGTCGTTAAGCGCCTGCCTTCGGCTCAGGTCATGATCCCAGGGTCCTGGGATCGAGTCCCGCATCGGGCTCCCTGCTCCGTGGGAAGCCTGCTTCTCCCTCTCCCACTCCCCCTGCTTGTGTTCCCTCTCTCGCTGTGTCTCTCTCTGTCAAATAAATAAATAAAGTCTTTAAAAAAAAAAAAATCTGGTCCTGTTACCTAACTGGTGAGCTGATCTGTCTTCAGAAACCTCATCTGGCAAATGCTGGATGCTAATGATGCCAAGGTTCCTTGTGGATTAGTAGATACCACATTCTTCTGATTCAACTAAAAGTTTTTCTTTAGATTCATTCAAAGACTGTGTTTTCTTTATCTGCTGCCTTTTTCCCCAGGGTTCCACCTTCAATCTACCAACCATTTTACACACCCTCTCTCTGCATAAACTCAGCAATTCTCATCTGTATGTTGATTAGTTCCAAATTTACCCTCCAAACTCCCTGGAATTCAGCCTCCAGTAGTTCATGTCTGTCAGGCGTCCAACCAAGAAAATGGAAACCACTCTGAATATTTAAAATAGAGGAAGCTGATGGCTGGCAATGATTATATACTCATGGTATCCCTGAGAAACTGAGCAGGTGGCAGTGAAATAGCAGAACTTGTGAGGTGGCAGAAGGAAGTGACTGTCCTGAGAGCTGAAACCAGGGCAAGCCTGAATTGCGGGGAGCAGGAGACAAGGAAGAGAAACAATAAATGCTAGAAATACATCTGGAGATAGACGAGGATGGGGAGAAATACCCTGGTTACTTCCTTCTTCCCATTCTCCAATCTCTGTCAATGCCTGATCAATCCCGCTGGAAGCCAACTGCCAGGGGAGCCTAGGAAGCAGCCAAGGGGACAGCTACCCTGATAGGAGAGCAGAGGGAAGCCGGAGAACGAACCCAAGGGCCCAGAGGTGTAGGGCCAGTGCTACATTTTGCCTCGAGATCCCATAGATGAATCAGATTACATGTGTCCTGAACTTAATTCACCCTCTTTCAGATTTTGCCTCCTTCTCCTCCTATGCTCTTCTACCACTAGCCAGATCTGCTCCTGTCTGCTCCTCTCTGCACTACAATGTGCATATTTTGTTATCATTGTTCTTTGACTTGAATTTACCTGTTTTTATGCCTGTCTCCTCCATTAAGTTGAACATTTAGACTAGAGCTATGGTTTAGTCATCCTGGTGGCCCAGCACTTAGCAGAAAGCCTTACCCATAGAGTCGCTTCCAGAATGTTTGTTGAACTTCTATATGCCATCCATCAGGGACTTTGGTTAATATTGAATCGGATCTTTTCAGGCAGCAAGAGCACGGGGGTGGGGGGGGCAGAAATCGGATGGGGAGACGAACCATGAGAGACTATGGACTCTGAGAAACAAACTGAGGGTTCTAGAGGGGAGGGGTGTGGGCGGATGGGTTAGCCTGGTGATGGGTATTAAAGGGCACGTACTGCATGGAGCACTGGGTGTTATACACAAACAATGAATCATGGAACACTACATCAAAAACTAATGATGTAATGTATGGTGATTAACGTAACATAAAAAAAAGCACAGTACAATATTCCATTGATTATTTTCTCTTGTAATTTCTCTCATGGTTTTTAAATCATTTCCTTTGAATACATAAAGCTTTTCATGTTTTTGGTTTAAAAAAAGAAGAATGTTTGTTGAGTGAATGAATAAATGATATAATAATATATGAAAAAAATGCCCACTGATTTTCATATGACTTTAGAATTCAGGTAATTAGAGAAGCAATTCATGTGTACTTTTTTCAAAGTTGAATTACTTAATTTTACTTTTAATTTTAAAGTTTATAAATTATTTTATTATAAATGTTAATAACTGTCAATGAATAAAAATTGTTCATCCTAATACTGCCTTTCCCATCAGTCCCACAAGAAGGAGCCAATCATAAGCTATTTTATATTTTACTTAAACTTATGAGTCAATATATTTATATTTTAGTGAACTGACTCTTATCAATAGTTAATCTCAGATTAGTTATTGAGCAGAGAGGGCTGGAGGTTGAGGATGGGGATAAGATGGAATACATAATCTAATGTGAGTCATTTATAGTTATGTGCCCTTTTAGTAACAATATTTTGGATAGATTGTTTTTGACTGAGCTACTTCTGAAATTTGGACAATAAGCAAATTTATAATTTACATATCTATATGAAGTTGGGCATGAAGATGTCCAACTATAAGAGATATATAAGAGATTGCTAATAATATGGAGAAGAAATCTGTAATAAGTATTTAACCTTACAAACAATTTTAAATTTAAAAGAATACATAGAGGGGCACCTGGGTGGCTCATTCAGTTAAGGGTCTGACTCTTGGTTTCCACTCAAGTCATGAACTCAGGGTCATGAAATCGAGCCCTATGTCAGGTTACGCGTTCAGTGGGGAGTCTGCTTGAGATTCTCTCTATCCCTCTGCCCCTCCCCCCACCCCATGCGCATGCTCTCTCTCTCTCTCTCAAAATAAATAACTCTTTAAAAAAAAAGAATACATAGAGAGTGGGGAGAAAATTATTAAACTATACAGGAATTTAATTACTCTAAGCAGATAAGAAGAAAACGTACAAGATTTTGCTTTGTCCCCATAGAAATATAGAATCAACTCTGTGCTGTAATTCAGGTATATTTATGATATACATTTTATTTTGAGCGATCCAGAGGATTGCTTTCATTTCCTTTTGTTGTCAGTCAACATGTATAGCCAATTTGTGGGAGAACAACAAACAAACAAACAAACAAACAAAACAGAGTTATTTCAGTTTAGTTTTAGACCTAATATTTAGTTTCTTGACTGGATTTTTTCTCCTTTAAATTCTTCATCAGGACACCAGAAAAATTGTCACTTAGTAAGATTTTCTTGAGTGTTCTACTACCCCTTGAGTCTTTCATATTACCCATTTAAGCACTTTGTTTTATGCACACCTTGGTCCACTCTAAGGAAAACTGATCTACATAGATATGCATACTTTAAATCAGAGTATATCATAGATTTTAAGTAATCACCTTTGGACAGTTTGTTTTTACAACATTTTTATTCTTGTTTTGGAATTACAGTGTACAGAATACAAAAAGTCATGTTTTATGGCGTTGAAATTTTATGTGGAGCATGTTACAGATATTTTTTTAATGCTAGTCATGTCCTTGTTCTACTTACTGAGTAAATCTATTTATTCTGCATTCTGATTTTTTAAAAAATCATTTTCAACTCAGTCATTTTCTCCAATAATGTTGCATCTTCCCTATCGCAGTTGCTCATAAATTTTAATCTCATGCTGATTAATCTCATGCTCAGTGGATCAGAATATGAGATCGATCAAAGGTTCTAGAGTTCCAACCTAAGTTGTAGCAAAAAAATGGTAATACTCCTGTGGACTGTCTCTGCTAATGACTGGTTGAACTTTCACAATTTAAATAAGTGCACAACGTAAAGTGCAAATAAACACGGTGTTTGACACATGATTAACATCCCTTACATTGTAGCTGTAATTAAATTAAAAGTTAATATAAGGGCACCCGGGTGGCTCAGTCGGTTCAGCGTATGACTTCGGCTCAGGTCATGATCCCGGGGTCCTGGGATGGAGCCCTGCGTCGGGCTCCCTGCTCAGCAGGGAGTCTGCTTGTCCTTCCCCAGACACCCACCCCGCCCCACCCCACCTGACTCCCCCCCCGGCTCCTGCTCCTTCTAGCTCTCTCTCAGATGAATAAG